TCAGGCAGATCTGATTGGAGGGCCAGTGTTAGTCTATAAGCAGTCGAATCTAAACAGACATGCGCCCGTTTAGATCCGATTACCCCAGACTATGGACAGGTCTGGAAAACCAAATGGAATAGAGTTCTGTTTTGGTGGACCTGATCGTGGGTGAAATGGGGGTAACCTGATATAAATGGCTACATGTCCATTTACCTCTGACTCCCCATAGAATAACATGAAGGTCTCGTCATTTCTGTCTTTTCCTTCATCGCAATCCTTGCACTAGAGGCAAAAACAGGATGGACACTGATGTCACAAGGGTGACATCTGTTCTGATCAGCAGAGGATCTGTGCATGCACTCCCTGCTGGATAGAAGCTAAGGTGCCCGTGTGAAAGGGGTCTAACTGAACAAACTGAAAAGAGAAGCTGATTGGTTATTATGAGCAATAGCTCCAAATTGTCTGCTCCAGATTTGATAAATTCCCCCCAATTTAGGTACAACATTATATTATATAATATAGTACATCATATGGGTACAGCAGTGTGGCATACAAAACTTCCCTACCATAAATAATGTGGTCACAGCTGGAATATTGTTGCTTCTTATACTTTCATAAATTGGGTGTGATGACATGCTACCATGACTGCCCAGAAATATACTGTCATTTCCTGTCCTAAATACTTGTTCTATATTAAAGTTACATATAATATGTTTTTATTCCTAAAACACATCTACAGCCTGATAGCGCATCCCATGTAATGTCAGTGCAGTTAACTCAGGGGTTGAATTACTAGACAAGCAGAGAGTACATTTTCACTGAGCTTAATAAATAAGATGAACCTGTTTAAATACCCAATCATAGTCAAGGGAAAGTAAAAAAAAAAAAAAAAAATGTTTTACTTCTACATGACTGGAGGATTGAAGTGAACACAGCTTCACCACAACCAAGCTCCGGCGAACGTGAGCTTTGCAAAGTGAACATTTACTTTCCTAAGTGAAGAAGTGCCTCTATGATCCCTTAGTAAATCTGTCCCACTGACTTCATACTGTATATTCCCTAAGGGGTTGATTCACTAAAGGAACAGAGGATGTTCATCAAAGTGTATGTTCACTTTACAAAAGGGAGGGGGGGGGGGGGGGGGTTTGATCAAAACTGGATCAGACAAAATCTGGAGAAGATTTGTACTGCAGCCAATCAACATCTCTCTCTCATTTTCAAATCTTACCTGAGCAAACTGTAGAGAGATGCTGATTGGTTGCCAACTGCTCCAGATTCTGTTTGCCCCAGTTTTGATCAATCTTATCCCCCCTCTCCCCCCCATTGCATGCTCATTTTGCAAAGGGTAGCTTAGCAAGTAAGGTGAAACTGTGTTTACTTTGAATACCCAGTCACTGGCAGGGGAGGTTAAAAGAACTGCGGTGGCGTAAACTGGCTACACACTTGATGAACCAGCTTAAATCTGCTTGGTAGGTGACCCTGTCTGCCTCCTCTTTGTATGCGAGGTAGAGACCTTAGATTGCAAGCTCCGGGCAGGGACTGATGTGTACAATATGTAAATTGATGGTGCTATATAAATACCTGTAATAAATCATTAAAAGAAAAAAAGTTTTTGCTTGCATGTAATTGGGTGATTAAGATAAACACAGCTTTGCCTTATTTACAATGGTAACCAAACATTCAGTTTTCAAAGGGAACAGCTTAGTAATTGAATCTGCAGGTGAGTTACAGGTTATACAGGACACTGAGGTCTCATTATACATGTGAGAGTTCAGTGTGGAATATTGTGCTGCCATAGAAATACATTGTAGCATTGCACTTGTCATTCCAGGTTGCTGCCAGGAAGGACTGTGCGCTGAGGTTGAGTGTTCGATCCCCAGCAGGATCAAAAGGCAGTTGTGCTCATGTCGTGTCCAGGTTGTGTTCAGGTTGTGTTGAGGGGGAGATGGTCTTGTGTAGTGTACAGTAGTGAGCTTAGCAATCATTAGCAGCCAGTGGGGTAACCAGGATCATTGTGTGTAATTGCTGTCTCTGGATGATCGGCCAGATAAAGCAGAATGGGAGCTGCTGCTGAATTCATCTGTGCCTGAACTTTGTGTGAACCTGAGATTAAACAGGGGAAGGCAGCGAAACATTTTGTTGTTAGATTCCTTTTCAACAGGCCTTTTAGACTAAGTAAATATTGATCAGTTTCAATGTGAATACCCTGGGGGAAGACCCCGAAGTGTCTGTATTGCTTAAAAAGTAAACTTTTCAAGAGAATGGGAGGAAAAGCTCTGCTTCTTATATTGGATGATACATTTCAAGTGGATGTGAAAGGATATGTTCCTTGTAATCCGGGTTTAATGACCATGTATATACACGCGTACTTATTAACGCCCAATATACTTGTATGTAGTATATAAAATAGCTTTCTTCACTGTACACGGCACATACTTTAGTCAACGGTTGAAAAATTCGTTCCGAAAATGCAATTGAATAGAAGCAGATTTAATTTTGTTCACCAACTGTTACTTTTACATGTCATTAAAACAACTACATTAATAAACATTTCAGCAAAAAGTTTTATTGACAGTATTTCTTTAAACGAACTGCTATTTTTTCCTAATTCCATTTTTATCAATCAGTGATTCTTTGATATTATTATTAACAATAAAAATGTTGAAAAACCAATTAATGATACATTTATATATTTCATATCTTCTGAGTAATATAAACGCATGTTTGTATTTTTGTAGCATGTTTGTATTTTTCTAGCATGGTTATATTTTTGTAGCATGTTTGTTTTTTTCTAGTATGGTTATATTTTTGTAGCATGGTTTTAATTTGTAGAAAAGTTGTATTTTTGTAGCATAGTTGTATTTAATATCATGGCTGTATTTTTTTGTATTTTGTAGCATGTTTGTTTTTTCTAGCATGTTTATAGTTTTGTAGCATGGTTGTATTTCTGTAGCAAGGTTATATTTTTGTAGCATGGTTGTATTTTTCTAGCATGCTTAGATGTTTGTAGCATGGTTATATTTTGTAGCATGTTTGTCGTTTTGTAGCATTGTTGTATTTTGTAGCAGGGTTGTTTTTTGTAGCATGTTTGTATTTTTGTAGCACGGTTGTATTTTGTAGCATGTTTGTATTTAAGTAGCATGGTTGCACTTTTCTAGCATGGTTAGATGTTTGTAGCATGTTGATATTTTTGTAGCACGGTTAGATTTTTGTAGCCTGGTTTTATTTTTGTAGCATATTTGCAGGTATACTGTATATGCCTCTACAGTGACGTCTGCATGTGCATCAAACTTGTCAATTTTCCATTTTATCAATGTGAACTGTCATGATCTCTCTAGGAAATCCGTTATGTTATACAATGTACGTCCTTTTTGTGACCTCTTTCTTTGTGGTGTTTTTTTTTGTTTTGTTTTTACCCATGTTCGTTTTCAGGACTTACAAGCTAACCAATGCCATAATTAACACGAGTTGAATGGCTACTTAGATGCTGAACGACCCGTTCACTTTGAAGTTGCTTTTCAAGCCTCCACTGTAACGTGTTCCCTTAGATATGATAGGAGATAGGGGAACCAGTTTGTTGTTATGGTAATGGAATTTAGCACATTAAAGTACAGTAGAAGGAGTAGAGAAGACAGACATCTGGTTCATCTTGCTCCTACTGTCATAGACAAAGGGGGTGAGTCGGACTGAGAAAAAACTGCACTTTTACTTTGATGTCAGCACTGGAATCTCTATAATAGAAGCAAACTTTGGCGCAGCTTGTGTTTGGTTTTATACACTGGTCACCTACTATCAGCAAAACTTTAGACACTGTCATTAAAGATCATATTTTGATGCTGCTAATCACCTGTATACAATTAAACAGCGACATTTAAAGTGATTCTCCCCAATAGTGATTTTTGTTCGTGCTAAAGATTGGATGAAATGATTAAAGTGGGAACTAGCCCTTTAACAGGACAAGATGTGTGCTTATAAAGACTGATGTGAGGAAAGACTGACTGAAGACAAGCTGCACATTTTTGTCAGTCTTCTGTGTTTACACATGTCAACGTTCTGATTGAGGTGAAAAGTTCACTAGTTCTTGACCCAAGATGTTCCTGGAGGTGTCACTTCATGTGAATCTGGGAGGACATAAGAGGCATTGTGCATCTACTGTAAATGAATTTTTGGTTATAGTTTCTTATAAATGTGAATGAAAAAACTAGCTTTTGTTTTGTTTAACTTTTCCGACTCAAAAGGCAGATTTGTAACATAAATGTTAGCAGAATTGTAACAAAATTGTGCAGAATACAGAGAGACGATCTGTTTAAAAACGAAATTAGAAAAGCAATACTTTTATTGTTTTAACAAGTTTATTCATTATCCAGAACCCATAATGTAGAACCACTGAGCCCCAAACATTCACATATGATAAGACCACCATTTTCTTTATCGAAATATATTTTGATCACAGGTAATAACTGATAAAACTCAGTATATAATGGATACAGTAAATCATTGTGTCTCATGCACAGGCTCATACAAGAATCACAAAATATACAGAATGATTTGATCATAAGCAATACTGAAAACATCTGAAGGACATGAATCTCTAGGTAATTCTATAGTATAATGGGCTTTAAAGGCATGGCACATTTAATAGCTACTGAGGAATTTCTAAAAAAAAGGGTAAGTTTTAGGTCAGTTTAATAAATTAGTTCTCAGCTTAAACAACAAATCAATTTATAACAACAAATACATTCTCTGATCAAACTTTAATAGTAGATGCACGATGACTGGACTAGACCAAAAGCTGTACCTTTTATTTTAGTCAGCCTTCACCTAAATGTTAAGGAACAATGAATGAAAACTTGTACTACTAGTCAATTTTAACAAATGTTCTGCATTATAAATCTCTCCCAATTTGGTACCCGTCCCCATCATGTCACATAAGATAATTAGAGTTTCTAGAAAAAAAGGCCACAAAGATAAATCTCTGAAAAAAAGAAACAATATTTACAATCTTTCAACATACAGACAAAACAACAACAAAACACATTTAAATTAAACTCATAAAGTCTTTCAGTTTGTGTAAACTTGTTTTTTTATATAGTGCATCACATTGAAAGTACCTATGCTAGCCAAGTAGGACCATATGGTCTTCTATCTCCCAGTACTTGACCATAGGAAGCAGCTCATTCAGCATATATTCAATTTAACACATGCCAATACTGATTGTGGGCTCCATTTTGGTTCCTTAGTTGGGAACACAAAATGGTTTAGGAACAGTTTGTGCAAACAAAACTCTGGTGCCAGGAGGCAATTCACATTCACAGTGCAGGATTGGGAAGTCTTTGGCATCCTTGCGAAAACATTGCAACATAACAGCTGCTGCTCAGTTTGAGGAATTGAGATGATCAGAGGTAGAGGAAGCTGGTGATGGAGCACAGGGTGAAGGACTTGACTTGTCTGACATGTCTTCTGACTTTTCATCACTTCCTGTGCTGGCAGAGGGGGAGATTGGCAAAAGACCCTCTTTCTCTCTCTTTTTTTGTTTCATCCTCCTGTTCTGAAACCAGATCTTCACCTGGGTCTCATTAAGCTGCAGAGCGGCTGCGATTTCCACCCTCCTGGCTCTGGTCAGGTACTTGTTGAAATGGAATTCTTTCTCCAGTTCTGTCAACTGTTTGGTGGTAAAATTGGTTCTCACTGTGTTGGGTTGACCTACATATCCATATTCCCCAGCTTTACCTGCAAGAAATGAGAAGAGCCTTGTTAGAAACCCAATCTATAGTCAAGGACTGCTGGGCACATAATAAAGCTTTATGAATCAGTTTATGAGAAAAAGTGTTTAAATAACATTTGTATCATAAGAACAGAAGATATTTAAAATAAAGGTGGTATGGTGTCAGTGACCCCATAAAATAAACCTACCAAATCTAATCTGTGCTTGCATTGGGTCATTGCACAGAACTCTGACCCGCTATGTAAATTAAGAGTGAACTATATAGCAATGTGTACAGCCATGGATGCTTTAACATACACACTGTTGTGAATAGTGATAGGAACTATTGAACATACTGCTTAAAGATTCACTTAACATTGATGAAGCTTCAAAAGTGATCACAAATTACTTAAAACCAGTGAAAAGTTACATGAATTCTAAACCTTGGTAGCAAATGCAAGATCCTGTTATTTGGCATGTGTAAATGCCAAAAACCTGGGTGCAAGGACCCAGTGAGCACATTACAGAGGACCTGTGATTTGGACATATGACAGCAGTTTATTGCTTTATAATGACTTACCTGTTTTGGGTGGATTGCGCTTCACTTTCATCCAGTCGAAGGTCTGTGCTGGAGGTGAGTTTTCAGCAGACGGTGATCGACAAGCTTCTTGGTGATTGATGTGTATGCTGCTCACATTGTTGTTATTATAGGTGGCCATGGAAAGGTTCTGCTGCTCTGCTCCATACGGATGGTGATGGTGATGGTGAAGGTAATGGGCTGACCCTGACCCATCCACATAGCTCTGGTGCTGATGGTGCTGATGGTGCTGCTGGACCACAGTGGAGGCGATGTTGCCAGTGTACACAGAGCCGGGGAAGCCTGGACTGACATCTGCCTCTTGATTTATGGGGAAGTGAGAGTATCCTGCGCTGAAATTCTGGATGCCATACCCTGCAGCGCAGCTCGGGTGGGAATATGACATGGCCAGGTTGTTGTGAGGCTGGAAAGCCCCAGTTTGGTGGGGATGGTGGTGATGGTGGGAACTTAGCTGGACCCCCCGGCCAACCATAAAGCGATCATCGCTGTTACAGTTATTGGCACTGACTGCGCAGGACTGGAAAGTTGTAAGTCCATGATCAGGGTGAAAGGCTCTGGAGGTGCAGCTCCCAGGTTCAGCGTTCATCAGGCTCGGGTAATCTAGGAAGGAACTCATTCTCGCATAGTCCATCTATCACTGGGTGACTGAGTGTCTTTAGAGTCCAGGGTGGCCGTGCCAACTTTCTCACTTCCTCCATAGGGCCAGTAGAAAATAATATGAATGTACAGTGAAGGGGGCGTCACGTGGTTACGCCAGCCAATGGCGGCGCAGCCTGATAAAGTTTGACTCTTCTGGCTGGTGATGGATCGTCTTTTCAGTCGCATTTAAATTCCGAGCCCTGCTCTATGAAGGTGACGCGCAGACCGGAGCGCTGCAGACAGCGGACAGCACACAAGAGAGCGGAGCCTGGTCGGGGACCCGATGGGGACATCACAGCACTGGTGAGTGATCTGATTGTCATTAGCAATGCTTTGATTTCACTATGGTTAGCTTCTACCTGTGTCCATGAAAGAGCACAGTATGGTGACTGCACCGAATCACCTTCATACACCTAGGCGTGGTGCAGAGCCTGGAGTCATACACTGTTGTATTGTACTGCTGCATTGTGTATATATATGCATACATGCTGTACGATCTAGGACACCATATACAGTGTCTAGGCTCCCTATCTATCTATGTATTCAAGTCAATCGACTGACTTGTAAAAACTGGGGAGTACAAAGAGAGGCTGATTTACTAATTAATTAATTAATTACTTTCACTCAATAAATCGTGCCAAGATTCGCTTCAATTACACAATCATGTGAAATGCTATTCCCTGTTTGCTTACCACGTCAGCACATGATTGGACGATTGAAGTAAACGTTCACTCTTTTGTATTGTATGTGATCATTCTCCGCTTAGTAAATCAGTCCCATAGTGTTTACTGATGTTTGGACCATGATCTTATGTATCATTCATTCTCAGCCTTTCCTGGAGACTACAAGGCTGATTTACTATAGTAGTTGAGGATGCTGACATAGGGAGGCTCATATACTAAAGGGGTTGAGAAGGTTCACACAGTGAGGCTCATGTACTAAAGAGGTTGAGAAGGTTTACACAGTGAGGCTCATGTACTAAAGGGGTTGAGAAGGTTCACACAGTGAGGCTCATGTACTAAAGGAACTGAGAAGGTTCACACAGTGAGGACTGATATGCTAAAGGAGTTGGGAAGGTTCACACAGTGAGGTTGATATACTAAAGGAGTTGAGAAGGTTCACACAGTGAGGCTCATATACTAAAGAGGTTGAGAAGGTTCACACAGTGAGGCTGATATACTGAAGGGGTTGAGAAGGTTCACACAATGAGGCTTATATACTAAAGGGGTTGAGAAGGTTCACACAGTGAGGCTGATATACTAAAGGAGCTGAGAAGGTTCACACAGTGAGGCTCATATACTAAAGGGGTTGAGAAGGGTCACACAGTGAGGCTGATATACTAAAGTAGGAGAGAAGGTTCACACAGTGAGGCTGATATACTAAATAACTTAGCTGGACCCCCCGGCCAACCATAAAGCGATCATCGCTGTTACAGTTATTGGCACTGACTGCGCAGGACTGGAAAGTTGTAAGTCCATGATCAGGGTGAAAGGCTCTGGAGGTGCAGCTCCCAGGTTCAGCGTTCATCAGGCTCGGGTAATCTAGGAAGGAACTCATTCTCGCATAGTCCATCTATCACTGGGTGACTGAGTGTCTTTAGAGTCCAGGGTGGCCGTGCCAACTTTCTCACTTCCTCCATAGGGCCAGTAGAAAATAATATGAATGTACAGTGAAGGGGGCGTCACGTGGTTACGCCAGCCAATGGCGGCGCAGCCTGATAAAGTTTGACTCTTCTGGCTGGTGATGGATCGTCTTTTCAGTCGCATTTAAATTCCGAGCCCTGCTCTATGAAGGTGACGCGCAGACCGGAGCGCTGCAGACAGCGGACAGCACACAAGAGAGCGGAGCCTGGTCGGGGACCCGATGGGGACATCACAGCACTGGTGAGTGATCTGATTGTCATTAGCAATGCTTTGATTTCACTATGGTTAGCTTCTACCTGTGTCCATGAAAGAGCACAGTATGGTGACTGCACCGAATCACCTTCATACACCTAGGCGTGGTGCAGAGCCTGGAGTCATACACTGTTGTATTGTACTGCTGCATTGTGTATATATATGCATACATGCTGTACGATCTAGGACACCATATACAGTGTCTAGGCTCCCTATCTATCTATGTATTCAAGTCAATCGACTGACTTGTAAAAACTGGGGAGTACAAAGAGAGGCTGATTTACTAATTAATTAATTAATTACTTTCACTCAATAAATCGTGCCAAGATTCGCTTCAATTACACAATCATGTGAAATGCTATTCCCTGTTTGCTTACCACGTCAGCACATGATTGGACGATTGAAGTAAACGTTCACTCTTTTGTATTGTATGTGATCATTCTCCGCTTAGTAAATCAGTCCCATAGTGTTTACTGATGTTTGGACCATGATCTTATGTATCATTCATTCTCAGCCTTTCCTGGAGACTACAAGGCTGATTTACTATAGTAGTTGAGGATGCTGACATAGGGAGGCTCATATACTAAAGGGGTTGAGAAGGTTCACACAGTGAGGCTCATATACTAAAGGGGTTGAGAAGGTTCACACAGTGAGGCTGATATACTAAAGGAGCTGAGAAGGTTCACACAGTGAGGCTCATATACTAAAGAGGTTGAGAAGGTTCACACAGTGAGGCTGATATACTAAAGGGGTTGAGAAGGTTCACACAGTGAGGCTTATATACTAAAGGGGTTGAGAAGGTTCACACAGTGAGGCTCATATACTAAAGGAGTTGAGAAGGTTCACACAGTGAGACTGATATACTGAAGGAGGTGAGAAGGTTCACACAGTGAGGCTCATATACTAAAGGGGTTGAGAAGGGTCACACAGTGAGGCTGATATACTAAAGTAGGAGAGAAGGTTCACACAGTGAGGCTGATATACTAAAGGAGGTGAGAAGGTTCACACAGTGAGGCTGATATACTAAAGTAGGAGATAAGGTTCACACAGTGAGGCTGATATAGTAAAGGAGTTGAGAAGGTTCAAACAGTGAGGCTCATATACTAAAGTAGGAGAGAAGGTTCACACAGTGAGGCTCATATACTAAAGGGGTTGAGAAGGTTCACACAGTGAGGCTCATATACTAAAGTAGGAGAGAAGGTTCACACAGTGAGGCTCATATACTAAAGTAGGAGAGAAGGTTCACACAGTGAGGCTCATATACTAAAGTAGGAGAGAAGGTTCACACAGTGAGGCTCATATACTAAAGTAGGAGAGAAGGTTCACACAGTGAGGCTCATATACTAAAGTAGGAGAGAAGGTTCACACAGTGAGGCTCATATACTAAAGTAGGAGAGAAGGTTCACACAGTGAGGCTCATATACTAAAGTAGGAGAGAAGGTTCACACAGTGAGGCTCATATACTAAAGTAGGAGAGAAGGTTCACACAGTGAGGCTCATATACTAAAGTAGGAGAGAAGGTTCACACAGTGAGGCTCATATACTAAAGTAGGAGAGAAGGTTCACACAGTGAGGCTCATATACTAAAGTAGGAGAGAAGGTTCACACAGTGAGGCTCATATACTAAAGTAGGAGAGAAGGTTCACACAGTGAGGCTCATATACTAAAGTAGGAGAGAAGGTTCACACAGTGAGGCTCATATACTAAAGTAGGAGAGAAGGTTCACACAGTGAGGCTCATATACTAAAGTAGGAGAGAAGGTTCACACAGTGAGGCTCATATACTAAAGTAGGAGAGAAGGTTCACACAGTGAGGCTCATATACTAAAGTAGGAGAGAAGGTTCACACAGTGAGGCTCATATACTAAAGTAGGAGAGAAGGTTCACACAGTGAGGCTCATATACTAAAGTAGGAGAGAAGGTTCACACAGTGAGGCTCATATACTAAAGTAGGAGAGAAGGTTCACACAGTGAGGCTCATATACTAAAGTAGGAGAGAAGGTTCACACAGTGAGGCTCATATACTAAAGTAGGAGAGAAGGTTCACACAGTGAGGCTCATATACTAAAGTAGGAGAGAAGGTTCACACAGTGAGGCTCATATACTAAAGTAGGAGAGAAGGTTCACACAGTGAGGCTCATATACTAAAGTAGGAGAGAAGGTTCACACAGTGAGGCTCATATACTAAAGTAGGAGAGAAGGTTCACACAGTGAGGCTCATATACTAAAGTAGGAGAGAAGGTTCACACAGTGAGGCTCATATACTAAAGTAGGAGAGAAGGTTCACACAGTGAGGCTCATATACTAAAGTAGGAGAGAAGGTTCACACAGTGAGGCTCATATACTAAAGTAGGAGAGAAGGTTCACACAGTGAGGCTCATATACTAAAGTAGGAGAGAAGGTTCACACAGTGAGGCTCATATACTAAAGTAGGAGAGAAGGTTCACACAGTGAGGCTCATATACTAAAGTAGGAGAGAAGGTTCACACAGTGAGGCTCATATACTAAAGTAGGAGAGAAGGTTCACACAGTGAGGCTCATATACTAAAGTAGGAGAGAAGGTTCACACAGTGAGGCTCATATACTAAAGTAGGAGAGAAGGTTCACACAGTGAGGCTCATATACTAAAGTAGGAGAGAAGGTTCACACAGTGAGGCTCATATACTAAAGTAGGAGAGAAGGTTCACACAGTGAGGCTCATATACTAAAGTAGGAGAGAAGGTTCACACAGTGAGGCTCATATACTAAAGTAGGAGAGAAGGTTCACACAGTGAGGCTCATATACTAAAGTAGGAGAGAAGGTTCACACAGTGAGGCTCATATACTAAAGTAGGAGAGAAGGTTCACACAGTGAGGCTCATATACTAAAGGAGTTGGGAAGGTTCACGAAGTGAGGCTCATATACTAAAGGGGATGAGAAGGTTCACACAGTGAGGCTCATATACTAAAGGAGCTGAGAAGATTCACACAGTGAGGCTGATATAGTAAAAGAGTTGAGAAGGTTCACACAATAAATCATGAAGATTCACTTCAGTTACCCAATCATGTGAAAAGCAAACCCCCGTTTGCTTATTTCATCTGCACATGATTGGATGACTGAAGTCAATCTTCTCTCTTTTGTTTTATGCGTGATCATTCTTAACTTCTTTAGTATATCAGCCTCAGAGCGATGATGATTGGAAACAGGATCTTATCATTTTCTGCCTTTCCCTGAGACTGCAAGGCTGATTTACTAAAGGAGTTAATAATGTTCGCACAGTGAGGCTGATTTACTAAAGGAGTGGAGA